GAGCTAACCAAATCATTGCAAAAAGAACAACTTTTAAGAAGTGAAATGTTTTGCTCATTTAGGGATACTTCCTCAAACGGAAGAGGTAATGCAATACTTCTTGCGTCAAGCGTTTCGTCCTTGGGACTTATATTAATCAACATAACTCTCCCTGATTCAATGTCAATCGAGCAGACTTGCACTTCTGCCATCAAATCGGTGGAATTCACATAGTTAAGTTAGCTGTTGCATTTGAAATGCCAAATTCTGTGACAAGTTACATATTTCATGTCTTTCAAATGTGACATTTCCCTGATAGTGCGTTTTACGCCCTCTCTGTGTCACCTCAAATCGCTCCCCTCCAAGGTTACGTACATGACATTTCCTTTCCTACCACCTTCTGGCAAATAATTCATGTTTAGAGCAATTATGCCAACGTCAAGTATTACTTGTATGGGGTCGAGCATACTGTCCCTTTCGTTAAGTGGTAAATGATGCGAAAGGGTAACATGAGAGGAACCTCACAGATATGCGACGATCCACTTTCCCTTCATAGTATTTAGCAGATTATTTGTAGTAATTTGGTTACGTTATCGCAAATTGATACATTGTTGACAGTTTTACAGTACTACATGGACAGAAAAGGAGTTATCTAACAACACTGCATTCTTGCTACATGTTTTCTGCAAAGACTGGTTGTTCAATGGCTCTGACGCGTTTCAACTCGCCCTCTTTCCTTCTTCTCTTCTTTCTCCCAATTTTCGAACAGCAAATCCGATGCAACTCAGGTGAGTGGGAATTAAAACATCCCCGCCTTCCATAGTTCGCTATTTTCTGTTGCATCCTTTTGTGATTGAAGCTGTCAATTAGGGCACTATCAGTCCTCAATACCCTTTTGATAGCCTTAAAATCAAGATGACGGCATTTGTATTCGTCTCAAAAGTCTGTGCAAATTATGCAAACGAGAAGTTGCTTAAAGATTTTTGAATTAATTCAGCAGCAACAAGTAGGTACGAGGTGATGAAGCAAGTCATATCCATCTGTATCAGCGTTCGTGATATGGTGATGTGGAACGCAGTACCCTGAGAGGAAAGCATTGGGCTGTGACAGAACACCGAAATCCCCACTACGAAGAAAAGTAAAGTCAAATCGAACGCGCCTTCAAATATGCATGTGTTTCTGTTTCGCAGTAATTTAGCTAGGCATTAGAAATGCGAACTTCTAAACGCATTTTGACATGAGGGGAACTCGATTTCAGAAAGACCTCCTCCCTTTGAAACACAAACTTCGGTTTACTTAGGAAAAACAGCGCAACTATTCCAATGCATACGTGGCACCACCAGTGCCTGTCTTTTGAAAGGCTATGAGAGACTTTTGCAATAACTTTTCCAGTAGCAAATGTGTTTTGATTCTGCAATCGACTAAAGCCTGCATCTGCAACTCGCGTATCATATGCCTGCTGGCATGGCTTGGAGATCATGTTCATGGGCAAGGTACAACCTGCGGAGATTTGAGCGCCCACATATTGATCAGCAGGGTTAAACAAAATATCAAAGCCGTTAAATGGAAGGCCAGCCAAATGTCAAGGTGACCCACCAGCTCAGGTAATCATTTGGGATTTGTTTTCTTACCCATCCTCATAATATTGTTTGGCAAGAATCTATTCTAACGAATATAAAACATAATTTCGGGTGCTATGTTTAATGCTAAATGGGGGAGGAAATGCAAAATGAGTGTTATTTTATGCGCAAAGACATCGCATTAGCATTGATACGGCTTTCATGATACTTTTATTGTGAAACCATTCGGTCTCAGTGGTAATAAATTGCTTTCAGAAGTGAAATATCTCGGGGAAGAAACAGAGGCGCTTTCAGACTTGTAGCTTCTGTCTCTTTTTGTCAAAAACTTAAAAATTTGCAGCACCCCAAATACGATTCTTTTTAGATGTTTTCAAGAAATTGGACGCCTTAGTTCCTGTATTGTTACAATGCGACATCATCATTTGCATCACCATACCGGCCGATTCCTCACCTCTTCGTTGTTCTGAGCTCAATTAATCTAGTTAGCGCATCCAATCTCAGAGGTAACGAAACTGGAGCCATATATTTGCATGACAGTTGGAGGTATCGAAAGGTTGAACATAATGTGTTGAATCCAAACTTTCACAATTGAAGCAAAAAGCATTTATTAGTACAGGCACCCTCCTCCATTAATTATTACCTATTCCCTGTGTTAAATGTAAAAAAATTCCAGATTGTAATCACACGGGATTATAATTGCATCATGAATTGTATTTAGGAATTCAAATACAAAAGACTCGATCAATCTCTGCCACCAGCAGGAGGGCATAGATGCTTCAATATTCACCATAAGTCGACGAGACCTGGGACACGTCGGGCATTTGTATAATTCAGGCAATTAGCAATGTTCTGTTTCCGTATTTATGGGCTACGCACTGCCATAAACGGCAACGGTCATCGCCTCCTTTTCCGTAGTAATACAATAAAGAAATCGCCGCATTTCATGCAGCATGGACAGATTATCTAGCTGCCTATCTATCTTCCCTGCCTCCGTCACTAGGACACGTCTCGATG